TGCGCCCGGCGGAAACAAAGTTCAAAAAATCTATTTTTAGCATATTGGTCACAGTCAAGGTCACAAGGTCACTGGCCGTGGTGTCATTTGAAAGAACTTAATCAGTGGAGTATGCATCCCAAATATGAAGTCCCTATCTACTATGGTTTAAAAGTTATGGCCAAAAGTGTAAAAAGCTATTTTTAGCAAATAGGTCACAGTCAAGGTCATTGACCATGGTGTCATTTGAAAGAATTTAATCAGTGGAGTATGCATCCTAAATATGAAGTTCCTATCTCCTATGGTAAAAAAGTTATGGCAAAAAGTGTAAAAAGCTATTTTTAGCATCTAGGTCACGGTCAAGGTCACAAGGTCATTGACCATGGTGTCATCTGAAAGAACTTAATCAGTGGAGTATGCATCCCAAATATGAGGTTCCTATCTCCTATGGTTCAAAAGTTATGGCAAAAAGTGTAAAAAGCTTTTTTTAGCATATAAGTCACAGTCAAGGTCACAAGATCATTGACCTTGTTGTCAACTGAAAGGGCTTTATTAGAGGAGTATGCATACCAAATATCAAGTCCCTATCTCCTATGGTTAAAGAGTTATGACAAACAGTGGAAAAAGCTATTTTTAGCATATAGGTCACAGTCAAGGTCACAAGGTCATTGACCTTGATGTAATTTGAAAGGACTTTAATAGTGGAGTATGCATACCAAATATGAAGTCTCTATCTCTTATTGTTCAAAAGTTATGGCCAAAGTTAAAGTTGACAACAGACAAACAGACAAACAGATAAACAGACAAACAGACAGGACAAAAACAATATATGCCCGGGATCTATCGATCCGGGCGCATAAAAAATATTGCCACAGTTGGATAGTTTACATCAGTATATGCATCAGCATATGAACTTTGATAAAATATCTAGAAAGTAATTTCTTTGAGCTCGATGGAAAGACAGATGGAAGGGTGGAGGACGGACATGACAAAAACTAATACATGTATTCCTAATCATGGCGTAGCATAAAAAACTTGAATATACATTATATGAGGATGTTTCCATATCAAGATTATAGATGCAAATTCAAAGAATTGTGGTCCTTTGCTTTCTGTGTTTAAGTGAATGGGATGCCATAATTTATGGCAGATTGTGTATCAAATATGCATCCCTATCATATGTCACTTTATGAAAATTAGGTCAAAGGGGGGAAATCATCGCATGCTCGAAATATTTTGTTGCAGGTAAAGTACATGTCAAATATGAAAGACCCATCTCTTTTCAATCAAAAGTTATATATATATAAATATATAATATAATATTTTTGAAAAGTAGGTTAAACTTCTACGTCAAGATCAGAAAGTCAAAAGTCATGATATATTTAGAAAAGTCTTTTCACATGTAATATACATGTATAATTTAAATGCCATATCTTTTCTCTTTCAAAATGATTAATTTAAAATGTTATTTTTTGGAAAGTAGGTAAAATTTTGAGGTCAAGGTCTCACTTGGGTTAAAAAATCATAGTACATTTAGAAAGTTTTGTGGTAATGTACATGTGAAATATAAAAGCCCTATCTCATATTATTCAAAAGTTATGATCAAGGTTAAATTTATTGTGACAGATGCACATACTGTCTCTATGATCTCTTGATCTCTATGTTGTTAAATAACAACAAAAGAGATGTTAATAAACTGGTAAACTGGTCAAAGATGGCCAGACTGACAGACAAATAAGATTTATTATTACCTAACTTACTATCTAAATTATAATTAGGCATTTTGAACTGTTTCACGGTTTACTTTATGTTTTTGCGTGATCATGAAACAGTGAACTGTTGACCGGTCCACAGAATGAACTGTTGACTGGTTAAAGCGTCATTGTGATATTCAAGCGTTTTGATGATCACGACATCACTATTTACCTGCTCTATAATGAATTAAATTTAAACAAAACACACAAACAATAAATTTATTAAGTATTACTTTTAAATAAAAATATTAATTTAGTCTTTATATTATGTATTCAGCTAATTAATAGACAAGTATGTGAATAAACAATTGTGAAAACTTTTTATTGATTGTTTGTGTGTTTTTATTCCAATTTAATTAATTATATAGTAGGTTAGGTAATAAAACACTTATTCAATGACTACTCGGTGAAACAGTCAAACTGTTGTCCCTCAGTAGTACGTGGGGGAGACCTGGGAAACTGTTGCCCTTGGCCTTCGGCCTTGGGCAACAGTTTCCCAGGTCTCCCCCACTACCTCGGGACAACAGTTTGACTGTTTACCTCGTAGTCATTAAATAAGTGTATAATGTTCCCTCCCTTTCCCCCAAAACGGGGGACAATAATGCCCTTGCTGTTCTTGAGAAGAAGATTTATGATGGAAAAAATCCCCTGCATATTTCTTAACGCAAATCAATATTGTGTTTTTATGTCATTTAATTGTTTGTTTGTTGTTAAACATCCCTCTCAGGAATTTTTCACTCAAATGGAGACACCCCCACTTGAAAAAT